ATATATATAGGGTTGTTCATATTTCCTTACGGGGTTTCGAAGCGTTATAGTAAAAAAAAAAGAAGACGAATACGAAAAAAAGAAACATATGAAATTATTCCGAAACTATTTTTACTTACATACATTACAGGTGTTCTATGTGTGAACCCTTGGTCGCACGACGTACATCAATGCGACAGTCCAGTTCCTGTCCGGAGGGAATATATATAAACTTCCTAAATGAAACTGCCTTATAAGAGTGAGATTTATTATCCATATATAGCTAACAACCATGTAAACAGCATGAACGTTTGTTGCGAGACTTACACTTCCGTCACAGTTGTTCACATCCCATATTGAAAACGAAATTAATGGATAAATACTACTGCTTCGTTTTGGAAGAAATGTGAGCAATCTCCCTGCTATATTTGCCGTTTTGGAAGAAATGTAAGCAATCTCCCTGCTATATTTGCCGTTTTGGAAGAAATGTAAGCAATCTCCCTGCTATATTTGCCGTTTTGGAAGAAATGTAAGCAATCTCCCTGCTATATTTGCCGTTTTGGAAGAAATGTAAGCAATCTCCCTGCTATATTTGCCGTTTTGGAAGAAATGTAAGCAATCTCCCTGCTATATTTGCCGTTTTGGAAGAAATGTAAGCAATCTCCCTGCTATATTTGCCGTTTTGGAAGAAATGTAAGCAATCTCCCTGCTATATTTGCCGTTTTGGAAGAAATGTAAGCAATCTCCCTGCTATATTTGCCGTTTTGGAAGAAATGTAAGCAATCTCCCTGCTATATTTGCCGTTTTGGAAGAAATGTAAGCAATCTCCCTGCTATATTTGCCGTTTTGGAAGAAATGTAAGCAATCTCCCTGCTATATTTGCCGTTTTGGAAGAAATGTAAGCAATCTCCCTGCTATATTTGCCGTTTTGGAAGAAATGTAAGCAATCTCCCTGCTATATTTGCCGTTTTGGAAGAAATGTAAGCAATCTCCCTGCTATATTTGCCGTTTTGGAAGAAATGTAAGCAATCTCCCTGCTATATTTGCCGTTTTGGAAGAAATGTAAGCAATCTCCCTGCTATATTTGCCGTTTTGGAAGAAATGTAAGCAATCTCCCTGCTATATTNAGAGTGAGATTTATTATCTCCATATATAACTAACAACCATGTAAACAGCATGATGGTTGGTTGCGAGACCTACACTTCTGTCACAGTTGTTCATATCCTATATTAAAAGCAAAATTAATAGAGAAATACTACTATTTCATTTTGGATATTTTTGCGCCAATGACACTTAATAAATACTACTTGTAATGTGATATGGTGCAAAATATACTAATATAGTGCATAGTGTAATAATAGTACATTTGATACCTTATTATACTGCGTCAATGCTATGTAGTTTTAATAAAGATACAGGGCAAAGAGATTTTTACAGTCATTTGAAAAGGTTAATAGTAAATGAAGGAGGAAATTGTTTGATTTTGTTTAATTTTGACGATTAGAAGTTGACATCAAGCAATGCTATATGCAAAATGATATTGAACGAAGTTCATATGATGACATGTACTACAAAAAACGTGCTTTGCCTAACCTAATAACGTAAATCTACCGGGAAGGACAAACTATTACAGTAAATAAAAGATGAAGAATTTTAGTTTTATTAAATGAGTTGGTATATGTATTTCAGTTTTGATCCGAATTTTATAGCAAAATATTCCCTACTAATTTAATAATTAATTTCTTTTTTTTTTCACTCCATACGATGCACATGCATTCATCTATAAAGTAAAGTTAATTTATAAAGATTTTTTATTTTCGAAATTATTTTTTCCAAAATTTGCTGCATGCATTACTCAAATTGATTCACTTCTAATGTAAAGATGTTACCTAAACAAATGTCTCTGTACTGCGCATAACCTTCAAAACAATCACAGATTGCTTTTCCGTCCTCATCCCTCTTACATCCAGTTGAACGTACTCCACAGTCGCATTTACCTTTTCCTTCAAAATTTTAGATGAAAAAAAAAACGTAAACATTATTACAAAACATTTTGTACAAAACAGAATCATTCATAAATTCTAATTGTTAAATTTATTGCTTTTAAATTAAATACACTGGAACAGCTATTAAATCAATAAGCCTAGCTCTGGTTTTACTAACTGGATCCTAATAACACTTCGAATAAATGTTAATCAGATCATAAAACCTATATTTTTGTTAAAAAGTAGTTTACAATTAATTTATTTTAATAGAAGTCGTTACATTGTTAAATATCATAAGTAAATTAACCATATGCATTAATTCATTCTTTCAAACATATGCATGTATCGTAAGTGCAGAGTGTAGAGCGTAAGTGTTCAGTAGAATAGTAAATAATATCCTCTGGTCTACATTAGATTTTATTTTATTTTATAACCGGGGTCGAACAGCCGACCCCATTCTTAGTTTACGACTACCACTGTTCAACTCCGCAGCCCTTGTAATTTTGAACCCCATCAAGAAGTCAAGGGAACTCCTGGATCAAGTATTGGGAGAAATTCAAATTTGTCGAGTACTTCTTGATGCAACTAACCAGCCTTTGCGTTAAATGGTGAGGAAAACCATGAAACCCCTCCATGGTTAGCCTGACCGTAATAGGAATCGAAACCATGATCTGCCAACCACTGAGGACATTTTACGTGAGCACTGTGCTCCTTGCGAGCCTGGTTCAAAATTTGTTTCGACCGGCCATCGCTGGGAATTGATCCCGGATCACCTCGCTAGGAGGCGAACGCTCTATCCTCTGGGCCACCAGGCATAATCAGATTGATTTGAATAGTTTTGCATTTTGAGCATTCCTTGATCATGTAATTCTCTGTTCAGGTAATCAGAATCGGCCGCCCAGAATTCACGCCATAGGTTTTCACTGCTTTATCGCGTTGATGGATTAATATGAAAATTTCGAACATTTAAAAATTGGTCTACTGCGTAAAGAAATACTTTCACCAGGCATATTCAAACTGGCAATAAACTATGTATAATAAAGAAATGGAGGCAATTAAATGGTAAACCATTCATGCAAAATTCTTAGGACAATAATACAAAAATCATCTCGTTGACAATTTTCAATTTCATTTCGCATTCAATTTTATTTCGTTGTACTTTGCTTGCTGTTAATTAATGCTTGTGTATCACTTTTTTTTCAGTGAAGAAATTGGGTACTTTTGAAAAATTTAAGCAGAATTAAATCAGTTGTCGCCATGAAAAAATAATAAAATAGTCGTCGCCATGTATAAAAAATTCTGAAATTTCAGATGATATAAAAATGCTTATACCTCGCATTAAAAAATGTTCATCATTGACAAACCAATTAATAAAAATTATTCATTCTTGTGAAAACTATTTAATTATAATTATTATAAAAATAAGTTATAGTTCAAATAATAAATCAAGACATATAGAGATAAATGTGATAATTTCAGATGACATCAGAGTAACAAAACATTTAGATGACATTAGAGTATAAACTGTTATAGTGGATTAACCTATAAAAGTCAACTTTTTAAAACTTCTTCTGCTAATCTTATTTTGAAGGTGATAAACGTGAATTTGATGTTGCTGTTACTTTAGAAATATATATATATTTTGATCAAAATAAGCATATTACGTCACGGTTACAGTTAACCAGTAAAATGCGTTTGACGCGTATACTTCGTAGGAAATCATTATTGCAGAGCGTTTGACGCGTACACTTCGTACTAAATCAGTATTGGTTGAATCGCACTAATAATCGTACAAAATCAGTGTGACGTGTATACAAGTCTTCTATAAAAACACGCAATTCCAATAAAATACAATTATGATTTAGGTATTTTTATTTTATAATACCAATAGAACTGCTAAATATTTTATATCGCAAGTTTTTTTGGGGGGGAGGGGGTGAAGACTTATGGTCCAAAACCATATATCTTATATTATAACCACTTCATCACTACTTTCTTTATATTGGGCAGCAAAAAAAAACCCATATATATGTTATAATGATAAACGAAATATCTCGGTAGTAAAATACATAAAAAAACCATTTGTTCTTCGTTCGATGTATATGCACGTCACATTGCTTGATTTTATTTTACAACCTATGGATTAAATATATAGTATATATCTTTGAGATAATGCTATAATACTTTACAGAATGAAAATCTGACCAGCCGTTCAGAAGTTATAAGGTCAGTTTCTTTGCTGAATGTAAATATATATTTTAAATTTCAGTTAATTTAAGCTATTTTTCTTTTCTGTATTTTGTAATTTAATGTCCATGTAAATTAAAAAGGTGTATAAAACATAGCTCTGCATGCCGATTCGTTTGTATTTTTCTGGCTTTCATCTATCGGTTCAAACTCATCAAGGCATTTACAATTATACGTATTCCCTTCCAGGACTCACTTTGCATTTGCACTCGGACAATCGCCATCCTTACACCTGTGTGCAATTGCTGTTGATAGAACTTAATTGCCATAACTGAAACTGGTCGATGGAACAGAGATGTAAATGAATCTCCAACCATTTCAAGCGCACTGCTCCGACAACTATAACTTATCAATTCTGTAGTATCAGAAAAGTATTTAACACTATGTTTACGGGCGTTTCTTATATACCTATTTCTGCGAACACGCGTCAATTTGACTCATGAAAGAATACATCACTAGGTTTACGGACGTTTCTTATATACCTATCTCTACGAACACATGTATATACGAATACGTATTTAATAAAATCAATTCAGCAGATTTTTAACCACCACTATTTCTAAATAATTTGCAGGATTAAACAATTCGCCACTTTATATTTGCTAAATTTACTTAGTGGTTATTTACTGACATTCTGCGTTAGCTATTTCTGCTATTGCTTATCGGCAACAGTTGTTTATCGGATAAAGGATCGAAGTATTGTCAGTACATTCCTATTTTTTATTGATGTCATGCTTATATGTTTACTCCAAATTTTGTCTAAATTACGATGGCGTCAAATTGACGCATATCCGTAGAGATAGGTATACCACAAGGAGAATTTCAATATTTCAATGCTTTTGAAGAAAATAGACTTCAGTATATACTTACCTCAATCAATGGATAAAAGTCATTACAGGAGATAAAATAAAAATTCAAACGTGTTAAACGTCAAAATGACGCGTCCCGTAAACCTAGTGTTAAATTTATCTTCTTTATTAATTACACTGTTATTCATGGTAGTAATTGCTGTTAATAGTAAATTCCGCGTAAGCAGTATTACTCAAGTACAAAATTTTTCTGTGCCTTTCAAAGCGAATTTTATAGATGCATAATAAATTTAGATTTCGAAATTTCATGAAATTAAAGCTAACCTTCTTTTACGTAATTCGTAATTTAGTGTTCGAATAAGTGTTTCAATTTTTAAAAGATGTATTAAACTTACTTTTGCATGCCGCTTCCTTTGTATTTTTTCTGCTTTCATCTACTAGTTCAAAACCATCAAGACATTCACATTTATACGTATTCCCATCCGGGACGCACTTTGTATTTGCACCTGGACAATCGCCATCTTCACACCTGTATGCACTTTCTGTTAATAGAATTAAATCAATAACTAAATCTCGTATATATCCAAATGAATGCGTGAACTTTGTTATTAAATCATTCACTTGCTAAAAAAATTTCACATAATGATTAATAACCATTGAATAGATCCATTTTCAGCTTTCCAATGGTATATAATGTATCACGCCATCTATTGAATGAAAAGAAGAAGCACTGCAAACACTATTCAACCCGTATCACAACCGGGAATATAATAACGGACATGAAAGCTAACATTGGCAGTATAAGATAATGGGTTATAAATTTAACCCACACTGTTGTGAAAAATATTATTTCATTTCCTTAACATGCAGAGAAAAGCCACAAAAACGTTCCATGGTTAGAACGATGGCAAGAGGACTCTAACTCATGATCTGTGTACCACTGATGATATTTTGATTCAGCACTGTGGTCGGTGTGAGCTTGGTGCGAACTTGGTATCGTTTGTCCATCGCTGGGTTTCTAACTTGGACCTCATTGGGATTGAAGTGCTCTATGAGCTGAGACACCCCGGTTTGACAACTACTCTTTATAAATTCTGTCGTAGCATCATATTATTTAATTTTTTCAGTTATTATGGTGCTGTCCATATGGTAGTGAAACTGCTGTAGACACGTGCGCGTCATCAAACCCGACGGTCGCGCCAACTTTGAATCAGACGGCTTTTAACTGCTTTTGAATGAAGTGAACAACTAAAAACTTCCCGAAGCTAATAATTTAAGTATTTATAGTTATTGCGGCATTGTAAATGGTACATATGTTACCCGCAAAGTATGAAATCCGGCATTATATATAATGCCTAAAACTAGCCGGCAAGCATGAAATGATTTATATTTCACACAATGCCTAGGCATTATATATAATGCTGGATGCTATTTAGGCAATGTATGAAATAAACGTCCTGGTGAGGTTATTATGTAAATGATGAGCATGTTACTGTGAATGACCGAAATCGGTGGTTGTTGACTTTCACCGGTGAATGTTGACAATCACATAGTCGTTTTGGTGAATGTCCGAAATATTTATTACATCTGATTTGATATTAATTTATTTATGGATATAACTACATTTATTCGATATTTTAATACTTACTGACGATAGATTAGAAGAAACATCAGTGTTTGGAGTATCGGGCAAATATATACCGGGTAATGATATTTGACCTTAAAAAAATATCAGTGCAGGGTATATCGGGCAAATGTATACCGGACAGTGGCACTGAACCTTAAAAAAACATCAGTGTAGGATATACCGGGCACTGGAACTTTGACACTTGACCTTAAAAAACCATAAGCATTACTGAAATAAAATAGACGGAAACGAACAGTTGCTTATAATTAATTTCCTTTAGTGCAGTTTTTTCCGTCGAAGAAAGGAGGGCATATACACCAATAATCTTCGCCAAGAGGAAAACAGGTTGAACCTTCTTTGCAGAAGCTTTTATCACACCCACCTTTTGAAAGAAAAACAAGTGTTTAAAGTCCTCCGTGGAATAGAAAGAAATATGCAGCAAAATTACGTGTAATCTATCATGTCTTATATTTTATTCAAATAACAAATCAAAAAAGCTTTTTCATATGTCTAATTCAGAATAGTAATTTTCAGAAGTGTTTTTTAATTTTTTTCTTTACAAGGTATGTTTATTTTTTAATTTAAAAATCTTTTTTATCATTTTTCGCATAGTTCTTCTTTACGTTCATATAAAATTCTTTTTTAGATTATAAATTCTTACTGGAAAAACAATAAATTGTTTTCTTCCTATATTACTCTGCATCTATACTTTTTGAAAATGTTTAAAAATTCTCATATTTGTAAGCGACATTTTGAAAATTGATAAACAAAGAAATCTAATTTTTCTACATAATCAAATTTAATTCTTCCTAATCAAGAATCTTATTCTACATAAGATTCTTAAATACTATTAAAAATAAGATATGTCCCTCTTGTCTTTAAATTTTTAATGAATAAAGATCTTTCTTAGCTGAAATTCCTTCTCGCTTAAGTCTTAACCGTTTATAATTGTTTAAATTTGTGGTGAAAAAAAATACTGCATTTGCAAAATAATAACTACCACTTTTAAAAAAAAAATGGTCCCTGGTCTAGCAACATCGCCCGCCAAACGCTGTGCAAGGCGTGGAGGTAGCAAATTCGAATCCCATTGATACCTTTGAAGTATCTTCTTGCTGTCCTATGCCTGTAACTGCATCACTAAAGGGCCAGTTTCTCTTTCTTTAACACTAGATTGCCTAAGGAAGTCATTTTGACTGCTTGTTAATTTCAATTAGACAAGAAATGATGTATATAATAACACAATTTCTTAGAATTTTGTGACTTTTATAATTATTTTTATTGTTGATACTAATAACTTGTTATGTAACTGAAAATAATATTAAAAATTAATTTTAAACAAATTTCTTTATACATTAGTTATTCTTTCACAATGCAGTCAGTTCGACTGCTTTTGGGCAATATAGGTATTTCAGTCTTTCTAGTGTTAAAAATACCCTAGCCTTGTTTTATCGCAAATATGGATAATTTTTTAATTGAAAATTATTTCTGATTTTAAACAAAGCAATATTATGTAAAGAATGCCAATAAGCAATCTCTATGAAAGAGGCCAAGAAAGGAGAAAAGTAATTTTAATATATTTTTCAAAATTCTCACATAGTATATAACAACTGAGAAAAATTCAAAAAACTCATATGCTGAGTTAATTAAAAATTGCATATTACATATCTAGGTATCTGCTGGAATACCATCGGCATGCGTACTCCAAATACTATTTGTAAATATCGAGCATATTTGTCGTACAAAAACAGAGTTTTCCACAACTAAATTTTTTTTTATTTAAACTTAATAGTTAAAAAATAACTCTCACTAAATTAACTGAACGAATTTAAATTGATGTTGTTGTGGTGCAATTTCGTTCCTCGTTTAATCCATTGTACATTTTTCGCAATTATATTTATCCAGTAAACCTTTGTTAAGTGATAATTGTTTATTATATGTAATTCTTCGAAGTCAGCAAACTGAGAAAATCGAGGTGTTTATTCCGATTTACCGACTTAAAGATATAATTACTGAGTAACTAGCCCGAAGAGCTACCTGCTCATTCATCGAAATTGTTAAGAAATGAGGGAATAATGGGGAAAAGATAAATTTCGCAAAAGAAAAGTTAAATTTAAAAAAAATTGAGTGATGCAAAGGGAAATAATTAATAATCATAAAAAAACGCAATAAAATGCAATCTGGGATAATAAAATGAGTACAAAAAATTATTTACAAGAAGGAAAAATTATTTACGTATGTACATAGGAGGTGTTTGGTCACGCTTGCTCAAGTGGTAATAATTCTTTTATCACAGATTTCTTGTAGTTGTTCAACAAAAGGCTTCTTTTCTTGACATTGCATTTTAAGCAATCAACTAATGATTTTAAACATTTTAGCTCATTTCAAAGAGAATAACTTAAACTAAAATAGTAAGCAAAACAAACGAGAAAAATTTATGAAAAGACTGATAAGCTGACATAATTAAAAATCATAAAAACGTACAACATATTCAGGGTTCAGGAAAACCATACGCATACGTAGCCCTAAAATTATTTGAAAATATCGTGCAGATTTGACGTATGAATACAGTTTTTTTCGCCCGAAAACCTTTTTCATGTGAGGTTACATGATAATTATTTATTATACGTAATACTTAGAAGTCAGCGAGACTGAGAAATTCAAGACGTTTTTCCACGTTTGCTATTTTTTTAAAAGCTTTCTTGCGGTAGTTCAAAAACAGGTTTTTTTGCCATCAAAATTTGAAGCAATCTACTAATGATTATAAAAATTTCAGCTCATTTGAAAGGCATTAACTTAGAATTACAGTATTTTGACATGAAGTTGTTACAGTATAGCTTAAATTTATGCAATATTTGAGGGATATCATTTTTCACAACACTGGTAATTGAAAATATTTCAATCTAATAAAAAATTTGATAAAATATTAAAGATTTTTCCTTGTGGCGTTATTCAGAATTTTATTTTTAATAATACATGTGTAAAACACATATGTTATTCAGATTAAACACATGTGTATAAAGTTATTAGAAAATAGTTTAAATCTATGCTATATTTGAGCGAAACTTTTGCCTTTTACAACACTTGTAATTGAAAACAGTTTGATCAAATAATATATTTTAAATAATTTTCCTTGTGGCATTGTTCAGAATTTTAATCTGAATAACACGTGTTTTAAAAAAAATATTAATACTTACTTGTACACGGGCCTTTATTTTTCTTTACTTCACCTTCTCTGGGTACGTAGCCAGGAAGACACTCACAATAATAATCGTCATTTCCTATCATCACACATTTAGCCCTGTCTGGCAAGGGACACGAAAACTCTCCGAGGTCGCATCTATTTTTTTCTGTTGAATAATAGACTTCAATGAATATTTAACGCAAAGAAGAAACAAATATATTAAATTTGACAGCTAGTGTAATTGATACAATAGGATAAATTTGATCAAGTACATGAAAATTAAAAGAGCCAATGGCAAATAGCTTAGTATCTTTCTCTCGATAAATGGTATAACTTGCAAATCCGGCGAGTTGAATTTCAACTGGAGGATAATAGTTTGGATAATAGTTCGGAGTAAGATAGTTTGGTTAAATTAAATTCGTAATTTTTTTCTGAACATTAAACTTTAATTAAATTAACTGTTGATTTATTGGTAGTGGAAATTAAAATTTAGATCAAGAAATAAAAGGTTATATTTTCTTCTACTCAATGAAAGTTAACCCAAAATCGTAATTTTCGAAATATTTCATTCTGATTTCATTTCAGAATAAACAAAAGGTTTCGGTTTTGTCATTTAAGTGAACATCTGAAAAACTGCTGGAGTTCGTCATAGGATAACTTTTTATTATAATAGATTGTTTATAGAGCAATTTTGCCACGCTTTTCCATTCGATATTAATAATTATTTTTCCCTTTAATTGAATCCCTGTCATGTCATTGCAAAATAGTTTTTACACTTAACAAGTTGAGTTAATAAATGCTAAGCATCAATGTTAAGCACAAGAAAGGCGAAAGTCCCATTGCATAATAATACGAAAGCGAAACGGTGAACTGTTCTCACAAAAGTCAAGATAAACGAATTTTGCTATTGACAATTTTACTTAGGATATCAATATTAATTGGCTTTTAATGCAAGAGCTCTTTTATTTTGGTTGTTCTCCTTTTTCATTTAAATTTGCTGCATATTTGAAATGGAATATCCATTTCGTGCAATACTTATATAATTTTTCAATTAACCCGAATAGAATTTTTCCAGAAGTCGAAAAATTAATTTCTGAATTTTGCCAAGTAACAGAGATTATGCAGACTGGGCAATTTTTACAAACGTATCATTCGTCTCGCACCAAAAAAAAAAAAAAAAACACTGATTTTTTGTAGTTGTCTCAGTCTACAGAGGCTAGCTCACAATAACTTGGTGTGGTTGGGAGTGTCCTGACTAACTTATTTTCCCCCTCAACTCTGAGAGAGTCTGGATGTCACGCAGGCATGCCAAGCCGAAAAGAAATTAAACCAAGTGAAGTTATAATCTCGCTTACCGCTCAAGGATATAGTTCATAACCACTTCTTAAACAACTACTCTTCAATTTTAACGAGAACTGCTCGAAAGGAAGTTTGATATTGTCTAATGCTTTAAGAAAAAAAGAGTAAAGCCATTTCTAATGAAAGGGATTTGCAGGAATAGCAGGAATCAATCACCTATTCACTATTGTCTGATGTTTATTCAATTCCAATATGTATATTCAATTCTAATTATCCTTAATCTAATATTTGAGTCTTATTATTATTCATAGATATTTTTATTTTTTATAGGTATACCTCGTATTAATTAGCACACTGGTGGACTAAATTTAAAGATGGAAGACATTTTCCCAAATATCCCAAAAAATACTGAATATAAATAAATGAAATTTGGTATAGATATAGCTTATTCCATAATAATAAATTATGCAAAACAAAAATGAAAGTACCAATCACTGGCAAGATCTATTGCCAATAAATCCAATGTAGTCTGAACTTAAGGATAAAAGATGACAATAAAAGTGAGGCTTGTACAGTGTGTGTTGCCTCTAGTATGGTGTATGGTCACCCATGACAGACAGACAGCATGCACAACGAGTATGCATGCTGTTAATAAGGGAGTTAAGGAGGACTTGTGGAAGACCCTCCCATTCTTCCACCAGAGCAATTTTTAACTCCAGAATGGTTCTGGGGAAGCATGGCGCATTGCAATAGCTCTCCCAGGAGCATCCCAAGCATGTTCAATAGGATTCAGGTCAGGGCATTTGGCTGGCCAATCCATTCGTTAAATATCCTCGCTTTCCAGATACTCATCAACTATGAGAGCCCTATGTGGTCGCGCATTGTCGTCCATAAAAATGAACTCAGGGGCAACAGCGCCCCTGAAAAGACGCACATAGGGCTCTAGGACCTCCTGCCTGTACCTCTGGGCATTCAAGGAACCATTGTCAAACCATCGGAACCATTGCAGAACCATTGTGCGAATGAATATGTGAAAATGCTTTCCATCTCTTAATTTTGTACACCAGTGTATTTATGCTCACCAATGCATTTCACATCCTTCTGTCCTTTTTTAGCTTCATCTTTTAGGTTGGAACCTTCTTTGCACTAACAAGTATATCGGTTGTTAATTAATGAAGGTAATTAAATACAACGCCGTATCGCACATAAAATTTAATAAAATATAATTCTTTCTCCTCTACATCTTTTATTTAACTTAGATTTATTATTCCTACATGTATTATATTACAACATTATATTACAATAATATAAGTTTCATTTATTGCGCATAAGCTGCAAGTAAAAAGAACTCATTAGATAAGTTTAAAATGAAGATAAAACAAAGGAAAATTATAGACATATGAAAAAGGGGTGGGAAATGATAATAAAAAAATAACATAATAAAAAGTATGAAATTTCTTCATCCCTTTTTTTTTAATCAGTTGTTTGTTATTTTTATTATGGTTATTTCCCACCCCTTTTTCATATGTCTATAATTTTCCTTTGTTTTATCTTCATTTTGATATATATATATATATATATATACAGGGGTATATTTTCAGGGCAAAATATAATGGAAACACTTCTAACACATCTTCTGATTTTTCTTAAAAAATTCTTAAAGAATTATTTCATAAATTAAGAAGTGTGTTTAGGTTATGCGATTTCTCCCATTTATCAATGAAATAAAAAGCTTTCAGATTTTTAAGGGACTGACAGTAAACTTCAAACGGAAAATAGTATATGTTTTGACATTTTTTTAAATTTTTCAGTAGCTATGCAATATTTATGCTTACCAATGCAGTCCGCATCCCTTTGTCCTTTCTTAGCTTCATCCTTTGGCTTGAAATAATTTCTGCACTCACAAGTATATTTGTTGCCATTTGCTACACATTCCGTATTCATTCCAGTGCAGTCAGTGTCTTTGCATTCATGAATTACTTCTAAAAATTATTTTAAAAAATAAGCAAAAGTATTACTAAGATTATTCATAACAACTTCCTCAATTACCTTTTAAGGATTTTTTCAAAGTTTTTAGTTAGAAGCTTAGTCTTTGAAGAGAGAAAATTAGTCACTGCCACATATAAAAGTCAAGTTCTTTCAAGCCAATGCAGTTTATTACTGTCGCGGTACTTCATTTCATTTTTTCATTCATCATTTTTTTAATCCTACTACAAAAATATACAATGAGAAGAAGGTTATTTCTGTTTATTTCATGTTATTTGTTGGCATCTCTAATGACTTAATATTCAAAGGTTCAAGACGAAATAAAAGGTTAAAAGTAAAGAGGGTGGATGTAAAAGGGCAGAAATTTTTGAAATAAAACTGTTCTACATTTAATTTTATTTGCTCTTATTAATTCAGCAGGTTCAGCAGTAGTGCAGGGCTACGTTTTCAATTTAAAAATTCTCCAAAAAGAACGAAGGAAAGAGCTGCGTTTTATTAACAAAGATCTGTAATCTATGCTTTTTATCCACATTTTTGAATCGTTTTCGTTGATTTCCTTCAATATTTTATGAGTTTATATTAAAATAAAATCCTTAAGACTTCTGTGTCTCCAAGAAAAAAGTTTATAACAATTTATATTCACCCTATAGTCAGAAAAAATATGCAAAAACTGTAGTTGATATGTCCAATAAAGTGTTTTTTTCTTGCACTGGCAGTGACGTCATACTTTGTTTTTCATATTTTTCTCGTAAACTATGGATCGTACAGGAACGCTTCTTTGGGTAGTTTTTATGTACTTCCAACGAGGAATCTAGCTGTGCAGGGTTTATGCGGTCGTTTTGGGACACCCTTTATATATATATATATATATATATNACCAAGCGACTACGTGAATGTCGACATTCTCCAGTTTTCGGTGTTTCACTGTAACATATATATTTCTATATATCTATATATATATATAATAGAGAGAGAGAGAGAGAGAAAGATTAGGCAATCTTATACGTGTAAGTTCAATTGAATTTGCTACTCGCTTTATAGATTTCGTTTTATGTTTTGTTTAGTATTAGAATACTAGAATATTAGGTTTATCCAAACACTTTTTTAAAATGCAGTTATCATTAAAAGAAATTCGAAGTTCCTTTCAGTTTTTACAATTTTGATTCTTAACTGTCGCAAGGTTTCTCACCATCGTAATTATCGAAGTTAATAATTTATGACTTTTTGTAGTAATTTCTGGAGATATACGTGGTGCTTACAAACTCTTTTTTTTATCCCACTACGAAAATACGAAGCGAAACGAACTTAAACGTCCGAAGCGAAATAAATGGATAAGAACTAAGAAAGTAGAGATAACTAGACAGAGTGCATAATAATGGTAGAAATAGATGCTTAAAAGCGAAATATTCGCATAATCAAACTGTTCTAAACTTAATTTTATTTTCTCTTAATAACTACGCAAATTTAACAGCAGTTTTGAGCTTTATTTTAATTTTAACAGTTCTGAAAAATGAACGCAGGAAGCAAATGCGTTTTACCAACAAAGATAGGTCAGCTATGCTTTTTTCTCAATTTTTAACCCTTTTCATTAGGTTTATGTACATTTTACAAGCTTGTATTGGAATAAAAAAATCCTTAAAACTCTTGTATCTCCAATCACTGAAGTTTGTAAAATTTTCTGTTCCATGAATTATTTCCTTTCAAAGTAGTATTAAAAAGTATATAAATTCAATCGATAAGTATTAGTTTAGCCTAAATGATTCCTTCAGTTTTAAAGGTCCCTTTATTTACAAGTATACTATGTACAAAGACTGATGGTATATGGAGAGATGTAAACACTCACCCAGTGTCTGGTTTATATTACAAATGTTCAATATGTTCACCCTTGATCACCTGACTCACAACCCAACCGTAATCCAGTTCCGGCCATTCCCTCTATTCCATGTTCTATAACTTCCGGCACAGGAGCAGTGATGCGCAACTTGTAAGCGTGTATGTACCTCCATTGCAAAATTGTAATTGTAATGAGCAAAGTTTATGCACCAGGAATGCTAACAACACCGAAGATACACATCACTGCTCCTGTGTCGGATAGTGGTAGAAACAAGGAAATGAGCGAATGGCCGGAACTGGATAACTGTTGGATTGTGAGTCAGGTGATCAAGGGTGCACACATTGAACATTTGTGATATGTAAGTTTGTGCATCTCTCCACATACCATCTGCCGTTGTACGTCGTATGCCTGCGAATAAACAGACCTTTGCAATTGAAAGATTCATTTGGACTAATCCTTTATATAAATTGAATGAAATGTATAAATATCAAAAGCTCTCAAGATTTAAATGTCGTTTATTTTTAGGACTTAATTTTTAAAAAATGCTTCAGTATGCATACAAAACTAGACTAAATACATAAGTTTTTAATAAGTAAATATTATTCATTTATCAATAAGATCTTTATAACTTTAAACTGTAAGCCCTATTAATTTTGTTAGGTACCGATTCGGCGTGAATTAATACATAAGAAATAATATATTTCGCTTAACTAGATAACAATGTCAGGTGCATACAAAATTGAGCTTATTATCCAAAAATCCTTCATAAAATTTAAGTAGTAAGCCTTATTGACTTTATTTTGGCCTCATTCGATTCAGCAGCAAATGCCAAAAAAACAATAATACCTCACTTGTCTAAAAAGTAATGTTAACTCTATCCCTATTTTGTCCCTACCAGTAAAATCAAAATAGCAGTTTCCGTTAATTATTGTGACATTCGATTACTTAGAAATTTGCTGATCTGACAGAATGTTTTATGACCCATTTTTTTTTCTTCTTCATTTTCCTCCCAGGAAGAATTAAATATATTCTTTCTAGCATTAAAATATCAAAATAAATCGTGTAATCAATATTTTGTTCATTTTTCCTGTTTTTATGGAGTGTAAAAAACTTATTTTCGTACACATTTTCTGCTTTTATCGATAATAGATTCTTTTGATGTTATAATTAAAATTTTTGTTTTATTTTTTGAAACAATGAAAATGGTTGGTTTCAAATGATTTTTTTGTCGATTGAAAATAATTTCCGAAATTATGTACTTTTGCTTTTTATTGCGTTTTTGAAACAAAAAGTGCCAATCTGCAAAGGAATGGTATTATCAGAAGAGTATTTTTCATCAATCTTACTCTCATAACACTTTTACAATTTCTCTAATTCTAAGTTCTTTAGATTAAAAGCAAACAAACAGCATATAAAATCACGTTGGCAACTTAAATTATCTTCGTTGCGAAGGGTGCATTTTGTAATGAAAAGTGTCACAAATTTACGCAAGATTTGAATTAAATAGAAAATTAATTTAGTATTATGAATAAAATAAAACACAGTTACACAGCTGAAAGTTAAGGGTTAGTAAAAAAGCGGACGACAGTAAAAAACAGATTGCTTTCATTATTGAAAGCCCATGGAACAATCCAGTTACTGCATGAGACATAACCTGGTCTTATACCATCACCTCTCTATGATAAGATTTAGCCCACTATTTTATTTAATTTAACACAATTGAATTACTTTACATGAAGTTATTTAAAGTTAAAGATGGATGTCAACAAGACTATATCCACCCGTACAATGAAAGGGTACGCTGCATCTACGAAATATAGCGCAACATTTATGCAAAACGGTCTTGGAAAGTTACAATAAAGGAGTATGCATACATCAACAAAACCATAAAGGTCAATCATTCAATCAGTGTGCTTCCTCAAAAAAAAACATGAGCTTGTTCTTTATAATTTATACTTGCTCAATAAGAAATATTTACTTTTTAATTGAAAAAAATTTTAATTTATTACTTTTTGGAAGAGTTTCCTAGATTTGGTAAACTTTTGTTCGGTTCAAAATATTTTCAAAATATTTTACTCCAATTTCTCTTAGAGTCATTCCAAATAAGTAAATATTTCATTAAATTATATTCATTCTTACCAATGCAGACGGCATCTTTTGTTCCTTTTTTACTAAGATCTTTTGGCACGAAACCATCCTTACACTCACAAGTGTAACCGCTGCCAGCCTCTACGCATTTTGTATTTTCTCCTTCACAGTCAGATTCTTTGCATACATAGTTCGCTGCCAAAAATTATACAAAAAATAAGAAATTTAAATAAAAATATTATAAAGATTATTTCTTTCTTACAAATGAAGCTGAATTTTTTTGAAGGTCATCAAAATACAAATAATTTTCTAACAAATTTTCTTGTATATTTTTAATTATTTATATAACTACATTAATGTTTTTTTTTCTGCTTAAGATATTGAAATATTCTTTTAGTGATAAAAACCTTGAGGCTTTTAAGTAAGGGATATATCGTTTTACAACTTCATAATTATTCCTCCCTATTCATACGGCATCTTTCTGTCTTCTTTTCGTAATACGTTTAGGTACGAAACCATCCACTCACAAGTGTAATCGCTGACAGACTCTGCAGATTTTATACTTTCTCCGTTACAGTCAATGTCTTTGCATACATGTTTCGCTGCTAAGATGTATGCAAAATGAACAAAATTTAAACAGAAATATGATAAACAAAACTGAATTTTTTGAGGATCATCAAAATTTTTGTTAAAAATTATTTAGTTTATTTTCAGTTTTTTCAATAATTACCTTACCTTTTTGCATGTAGTATTTAATTATTGAATTGAGATGTTTCATTATAGATAAAAACATTGATGCCTTTAAAATAGGAAAAAAATCGTTTTGCAAATAAATTATATTCTTACCAACGCATACGGCATCTTTTTGTCCTTTTTTACTAAGATCTTTTGGTACGAAACCATACGTACACTCACAAGTGTAATCGCTGCCAGCCTCTACACATTTTGTATTTTCTCCTTTACAGTCAGTGTCTCTGCATACATGGTTCGTTGCTAAAAAGTACACAAAATGTAAGAACTTTAAACAGAAATATGATACTCATTATGGTTTACTTACAAACAAACCAAACTGAAATTTTTGAGGATCATTAAAAAAAAAATTAGAAATATTTTGTTTATTTTTATTTTTTTCTGTAACTACCTTACTTTTTTGCATGTGGTATTTAATTATTGAATTGAGATATTCTATCATAGATAAAAACATTGATGCCTTTAAAATAGGAAAAAAATCGTTTTACAAATAAATATATATTCTTACCAATGCACACGGCATCTTTTTGTCCTTTTTTACTAAGATCTCTTGGTACAAAACCATCCTTACACTCACAAGTGAAATCGCTGCCAGCCTCTACACATTTTGTATTTTCCCCTTTACAGTCAGTGACTTTGCATTCATGTTTTACTACTAAAAAGAATACAAAATGTAAGAACTTTAAACAGAAATATGATACGTATTATGTTTTACTTACAAATAAAACCTTTTTTCCATGAAGGGTACCAAAATAAGGTGTCCGTCTCAAATCGTGTCAAAGAAGTTATTAGTTTGACAAACCCAATCACTGTATCACTGTGCTAGTAAAGATAAACCTTCAAATAATCTCTCTCGAGGAATGTTATGAGATGGATACAATGGACGATTGGAAAAAAATTATTTAATGGAACACATGGTTTAAAGGAGATTTTGCTGTACACAATTCATTATATATTGTCAATATAATTATTTATGATAAATTCAAAAAGATGCAATGGCTGCAGATCCGTCGTCAAAATATTAAATTACATATTACATTAAAATGATTAAAAAAATTTACTAAAAAAACGCGTGTTTTACATGCCATCCTTAAACGTGTATGTACACTAATGAGCCAAAAAAAACTGGTACAGGCATGAGTATGCAAATAAAGGGGTATGGAGCCAATCAAAGTACAGCGCTGCAATCGGCAACGCGTATATAAGACAACGAGTGTCTAGCACAGTTCTTAGATTGGTTACTGCCGCTACAATGCCAGGTTATACAGATTTAAGTGAATTTGAACGTGGTGTTATAGTCGGCGCACGGGAGATGAGACATAGCATATCCGAGATAGCAATGAAATTTGGATTTTCACGTATGACCATTTCACGAATATACCGTGAGTATCGAAAATCCGGTAAAACATCAAATCTACGACATCTCTGCCATATTCAACGAAATATCATCGATATGGGCTTTCCATACGGGCTTCCCTACACGACATTAGGCAGGTATACCAGTTTTTTTGGCTCTTCAGTGTATGTTGTAAAAGAATTTAATCCGTAATTAAAACTGTTAAATGGAATACTGATTATGATAAATGAATGTCTAACAATTTAAAGTATATTGCTACGACAATTCTCTAGTATCGCAATAGCAATTAATTTCTAAGGCACTAAAATTTAAATGTTTTCTCCGTTTCGAGCACACTTGGTATTTGCTCCACGACAATCGCGGCATGATTGCAGATATACAATGTCTAACAAAAAGCACACTGCAGCGACAACTGTAACTTATTAATTATGATGTACCACCATTGTATTTAATTTTTTATTATTCATTAATTATACTGTTGTTCATAGTAGTAAAATTCTAATAGTAAAACTAATTTACAGTCATTCACGTTTATCTGCGTTTCCGCTTGGGACACACCGTGTATTTGAAGCCTGG